CTATGTGTTTTTGTAACATAATTTTTTACAAATTTTTTACAAGTATTTTTACAGATTTTTTTACAAATTTTTTACAAATTTTTTTTCAAATTTTTTAGAATTCAATTGAAATCCCTCAATTTTGTTGCAAAAAAAAATGTTGCCAAAAACAACCCAGTGATGATGATGATATTTCTCAAATCTGAAATTTTTTTAAAAAAAATTTGAACAGGAATGGTTCGATCTGGTCTCTTTTTGAGAAAGAGTAAAAGAAAATTGAAGTTTCATTGCTTCTTGTTCTTGATGATTAACTGTGTAGTTTTATGTTGTATGATGTGGTATTCACTGAGTAAAACTTTGCGTCGATCTCGAGCGATTCAAGAAGATAAAAACTCTAGAAGAGAAATAAGAATGCGTAACTTGAATAGAATCATTAGAGATGATGATGTGGTGTGCAGAAACTTTCTTCGGATGAACCGACAAACATTTGTCATTTTATGTGAGATGGTAAGAGATATAGGTGGGTTGACACAGTCAAGGAATATGTGCGTGGAAGAGATTTTAACAAGTTTTTTATACACATTGGCGCACCATCAGAAGAATAGAACGATTGGGGGATATTTTTATAGAAGTGGTGAAACTATAAGTAGACAATTTCATGCATGTTTAAAGGCAGTTTTAAAGTTGCATTTTGTGCTTCTTAAGAAGCCTTCTCCAATAACGGAAGACTGCAACGATGAAAGGTGGAAACACTTCAAGGTACTCATGTTCAGGTGTTAAGTTGTTATTTACAAAGAATGAAGTTGTTTTAGAGTCTAATTGTGATATATGTGTTTTGTAGAATTGCTTAGGTGCACTTGACGGTACAATGATTAGTGTGAATCCCCCAGCAGCAGACCGATCAAAATATCGAACAAGAAAAGGAGTCACTGTGATGAATGTTTTAGGAGTTTGCCTGGTTGGGAAGGATCAGCCCACGATGGTCGAGTTCTCCGTGATTCCCTATCTAGACCTAATGGTTTTAAAGTCCCAAGAGGTAACCTCACAAGTAAACATGTCATTTGTTTTAGGGATCCTTAAATAATGTATCTAAACCTAATATTTTTTCTGTGTTAAGGTTATTACTATCTATGTGATGCTGGCTACGCTAATGGAGAAGGGTTCCTTACGCCATATAGAGGACATATTTACCATCTTAGAGAGTGGAACAATGCTACCCATCATCCACAAAGCGCGGAAGAGTACTTCAACTTAAGGCATGCATCGGCCAGAAATGTGATAGAACGATGTTTTGGGTTACTGAAAGGGCGTTGAGGTATTCTTAGAAGCCCTACTTAGTTTAACCTACAAACACATAGTCGCATTGTTTTGGCTTGTGCTTTATTACATAACTTGATTACAAGATTCATGCCATCTCGACCTGGTGATGATGAAGAGATATTTGAACATGATGATGGAGATAGTGATGATGGAGATAGTGATGATGAAGTCGAGTACATAACCTCAATTGATACATCAGATCCATGGATTAATTTCCGAAATACATTGGCTCAGAACATGTTCAACACTTGGAGAACTAGATCTCGTAGACTCTAAAAATTTGTGATTTTTTGTTGTGTTTTTGAAGTTTTAGATGAGCAATATTTTTTGAAATGAACGTATCATCTTGAAAGTATGTTGTTATGTGTGAATTTTGTTTAATTGTATCTTTGATAAAATAAATAAGTATTCCGTATTATTTTAAACAAATTGATCATAGCTGTGTAAAAAAATTTGATTCCCCTGTTTTGAACCAAACACAAACAAAGGAAATTCTATTCCCTTTCCTGCACTGAACCAAACAGAGAGAGTAATTCAAGGGTAATCATTCCCTCTCCCCGTGATTCCCTCCTCACCATGAACCAAAGGCCCCTTATCAGTGAGTTAGTCATCCGGGAGCCATCCGTCTCCTTTTTCTCGTTCGTCCGTCCCAGTCGCCGAAGGAGAGAAGCAAGACGTCCACCCGTTCGCTCGTCGCCGCCGATCAGAGCAACAGCGCCGCCGTGTCTCGCCGTCGACTCCAGCGATCCCAACCGACGTCTTCCAATTCTTCCTCCATCGTCGCGCGCAAGCCGAGCCAGGGGACTTGCAGCGGCGGTCCTTCTTCCTCGATCAAGCTTTGAATTCGTCAAATTTTGAGGTGATTCATGGTTTCTATACCTTTCGTTAGCGTAAATTAGTAGATTAGAACTTCCTTAGCTTATAATTATGCGATTTGATTGGGAATTGTGGGTGTTGTGTTAAATTTGAGATGTTGATGGTTGTGGGGCTGTTAACCGTCGCCACCTCCGGTGACCCGCCGGCAACGTCTGTGGCGAGTTGACCGGACTGGGCAGCGGCTCTATTTGGACCAAATGGGTTCAATTGGCACCAAAAATTGGGAAGGACCATACCAGGTTAATTCCGTCATTCAACCGAGTACCTACTAGTTATAGACTTTGGAAGGTAGAACGATAGAGAGATTTTGGAATTGAAAAATGCTAGGGGTACACCATTTGGTGTACCCCATTTGTCCTCCACCCCCTCTTCCACCATATAAATGGGCAAAAAACTTTAAAATAAATAATTAATTAAAAATGAAATAAAATGTGTGGTAGAGAAGGGGTGGGGGACAAATGGGGTACACCGGTGTACCCCTAGCATTGCTCTTTGGAATTCCCATCATTAGAGAAAGTTTTACAAATAATTACTCCCTCCGTCCTAAAACTTTCTTCCCAGAGCACTATTCCAACTTCACGGGAATTTATATTTATTTGTGTTTTTTCATGGCCTATATGATAAAATAAAATATTCTTGTCACTACTTGTTTTGTTGAACTTTTGATGTAGTTTTTAAATATGTATGTTTTATTTTTTATTTCTATACCAATATTTAAATAAAATAGATTGAAAAACTTGGGATTTTTCTTCGTTTTGCGAACCGGTGAGAAAGTATTAGGACGGAGGGAGTATAATACTAGGCTAGACCTGTTTCCGTTATCAAGTAAATAGATTTGCGAAATTTCACACTCTACCCAGTAGAGTCAAAAGAGGTCGAACCTACCCGATCTGGCTTCCTAGGTGGATCAAATCCACTTGGATAGGCCAACTGAGGCACAGACCCAGACCTGTCACGCTGGTTACAACACCGGTCTTGCTTCATATAAAAAACCCAGAAGAGGGGACCCGAATAAGGGGTATGCCTGCAACTGACTTGCAAAAAAGTTTGAAATTGTACTTACACAGACTCATGAGATTTGACCGGGATCGGGGAGTTAGTTGGATCCGTCAAACTGATTGGGGTTAAAAGGTGCCCATTAAAAGAAAAAGAAAAGGATCATTTATCGGCTCGAATTCCCCCTTCTCAGGGAAGACTTGAACGGGGGGTGAGCCAATGCCATTTACACCGGGATAGTAAACAAGAAAGGGCGATTAAAAGATTTAATTACCGGGAAGAGGCCTGTAAGAAGGATGCATTTGAGCCTTAGAGAGGGTTCGAGGCCATTCAACATGGTTAAATCTCTAGTGTTCTTACCGGGTGAGGATACTTCAAGGAAGTACTACGTTACAGGTGCATCCATCTACAACCTACTGGTTAACCAAAAAAGGAATACCTGGTAGGGTATTAATATCAGATCTTCAAAAAGAACTTCGAAAGTTCTTAAAGAACCAAAGCGATTCTCTCCACCGGTAGAAGAGAGTAAGAAATGGTCTACTGGTTAAGACATGTCAAATATAGAGAAGGAACTTGAAGGGCAAGTTCTACCAGGAGCGTTTGATAAGATTGAAAGTCATTAGAGAAACGCGAATTGAAGATAAGATCGAGAGACAGATTAAGCATGATACCGGTCATGGTTCAAATAAAGAAATCCTAAGTTACCAAAAAGCAAGATATCAAGCAAAACATTCAAAGGACAAAAATAATTGTGCAGACTAACAAAAATGACATTAAATTAGATAAATGTTGAATGTTTTACAAGTACACTGATACCCGGGCAAATGGAGAAAGTTTTACATAAAAAACTACTAGGCATTCTCGGGGAGAGCCTAATTTAGGGGGAAAGGGGGGGGGGTGGGCAGGTCCATCATCCTGGATTGGAGCCAGGCCATAAGATTCCAATGTGAACTCCGGGTCCCGGTCAGCCAAGATGGCGTGAGTTGGATCCCGGTCTCTCTTCTGGTCGGACATGAAACCGTAAGAGCCCACAGTTGTGATCATTTCCTTCCCATTGCCCGGTAGAGCAGCTTAAACGACTTTGTTGTAGCTTCAGAAGTCGAGGTTAGTTCTCGGGCGGCCTTAACCTTGATCTTTTTCATCCACTCCCTCGCCAGGGGAGAGACGAAGGGAGGAAATTTAATAAAAACAAAATTTTCTTTCCACGACTTACTGCTTAAGGTTCAGCAGTATTTGGCAAGGTTACATAATCCTCTTTATTAGACTAACTATTTTAGTCACATTATCTTGATAACGCTTGAGGGAACATCAATTTCATGATCGTGACACTTTTGCCTTTCCAATTATGTAACTTTGGCATTAATATCACTTGATCTTTATTAAGTGTGCTTTATTAATGCTAATGGCAAGTTTAAATTTCGAAAATTTAAATAGAAAGGGTACTTGGCTATAACCTTTATAAAGATATCCTTATATCTCTAAGTGGTTATCACTTTATTCGTAATTTTGTGACAAACTTATTAACTGATTAATATTTGTACTTTGTAGCCTTGGTATAGTTGTTGTATTGCGATATGCTTGTGAGGCAAAATATTTGATCATATGAAATACTTCTACAAATGGAGCAACAATTTGTCCTTTATTGAAATAACCAATAATACTTAAAACAATAAGTAAACATCAATTCGAAATTGAAAACTGATCAACTACTAAAACTTAAACTAATGCGCCACAAAGCTGCAACCCTTGCATCTTTAAGATCAACATTCCTACTACTTCTCTTCAGTTCCTGCAACGGTTTGCAATACTATAAGTATCGAATACTTTTGAAGAGATTGAAGATTAGTTTAAGTCTTTACAACAATTGTACCTGAAGCAGAAGCTTCGCCCTTTTTCTTGGTTGCCAAATACTGCTTGCAATTCCTCTTCTAGTGGCCAACTTCACCACAATGATGACAAATGGAATCTTTGGCCACTCCACCTTTAGGCTTGAGCTTAGAAGAATTTGACTTTGGTTCGGTGTTACTCTTGCCTTTAGGTCCATTCTTCTTTGCTTTCTTGAACTTCTTCTTGCCTTTTCCTCCTTGAACCAGAAGGACAGAATTCCCCTTTCCTTTCGTCAAGCTCTCTTTAGCAGTTTGCAGCATCTTCAAAAGTTCTGGTAGTGGTTTATCGAGTTCATGCATCTCGTAATTAACCACAAGCTGCTTGTATAATTCAGGCAACGATTACAGAATTAGATCAGTCGCAAGTTCAGTCCTTAGTTCGAAACCCAACTTCTCAAGAGTTTGGACGTAACCAGTCGTTTTGAGAACATGCGGACCAATGGGGTTTCCAACTGACAACTTGCAACTAAAGAGAGCTTTGGAGATTTGGAATCTCTCATGCCTAGCTTGTCCTTGGTAGAGCTATCTTAGGTGTATGATCATATCGTGCGCCTTCATACTCTCGTGATGTTTCTGAAGGTCAGAAGTCATCGTAGCCAACATGAGACATGCCACCTCATTGTCATCATCAACATGCTTCTCATAAGTATCCTTGATTGCTCTAGAAGCATTGGCGGTCGGGACATGTGGGATGGCTCGTTCGAGCACATATTCTTTCTTCTCGAATCGAAGAACGATGACGAGGTTTCTTTGCCAGTCTAAGAAGTTAGAGCCGGTCAACTTATCTTTGTCGAGGATCGAGCGAAGAGTGAGGTTATGGTTGTTATTAGACATCCACATATAATTTGCAAGATAGTTAATATCAAGAATCTAAGTAATTAGCTAGGTCTTTAACTAATAACTCTCCCACTATTTTAACAAATCAACTTCCCTGAAGTACGTAACGTGTTGATTCGAGACTGCTCCTAAAGAGATATCTTAGTGGGCCAAGGTCCATATTACATTTAACTATAGTTGTGCTTTGCATCTTGCCCTATAGTTAAACTAATTAGGTAGAAGCTTATTTCCAATTGTGATCCAATCACAATCCTTGGTTTGTTAGGTTGTTGTAAATAAAATCCTATATTGGGCCTAGATCCTTATTTCATCTAACTATAGTTGTGTTTTGCATCTTGCCGTATAGTTAAACTATTTCAGGTAGGAACTATTTCCAATTGTAACATTTTACAACTCTAGGTTAGATGAATTTGATATTATTTATTAACCTAACCATGTGCCTCTAAGTTATTCATCTTTTTACCTTAACTTAGTTAAGTTCAACCCGGGGCGTACTCAGTATCCATTGTTACAAATTTCGCGTCATACTAATGTAAACCAGGCATCCTGTTTTGGCGTGTCCGTTGACTAGTCGAAACTGGTATCGACGAGTGAGTCAGCGTCGGAAGACACAAACTTAATATTACGAGGGATTTTAAATGTGATTTCACATATGGCATGTGCCGCGCACATACACTAGCGAATATCATGCAAACATATATACAAACAGGTATAATGAGTAAAACTTGACATGGTTGTGGCCTCCTAAAGAATTAACGATAAAGCCTTCACTTGAGATCTCTATCTCCAGCTTCACCTTCTTTCTTTAAGAATGCTTTAGTCTTCATGTTCAGCCTTGTCTTGTTAGTGTTCTCTACTTCTTGGCTCCTTCATCTTCCTTGCTTTTTCATGGACTTTCTTTGTTTAATAAAGAGAAAAGAATCATTGCTTTGTAAGCAAGGGGTATGAGGTTTAAGAAGAGATTTACAACCAGAATTTAGAGATAAGGTACGACACACAGGTCGTATTTAAAAATCAATGATTTTAAGCCACAACCACGCACCATGCATACATTCATACATCACATGCATAAAAACCATACACCGGGTAAGCCGCGCTTGCCCTAGACCTAGTTTATTCTAAGAAAAATAAACTATAAGCCAAAAATTATCAAATAATTTTATTTAACTTTATTTTAAAACTCCAGAATATCCAAAATTTAATTTTGAATTTTCTTGAATTTTAAAATAGTTAATTACCGTAAATATAGGTATTAATTTCGAAATTGGGATTTTAATTCGAAATAAATACTTATACCTTTTGAAAATTAAGAAATAAATTCCAGAATGTGTATTCTAATTTTATAAGTCTGAAAATAAAATTTCCAGAATTTATAAAATTTATTGTCGAAATTCTTTATTCAAATACCCAAAATCAGACTTCAATTTTCCAAAAATTAATTCCGAGTTTCCAAAAATTAATATTTTTCAAAAATATATACTTTGGGTCCGTATTGTTCTGAAAATCAAATTTCCACAACTAAATAAATTTTATTTTCGGTATTTTGGAATTTATTTCCAAAAGGAGTTAAATTAGTTTCCAAAATAAATTTAGAATATTCCAAATATTCCAAAAATCAATATTTTCCAAAATTAAAGTTTTTGACTCATGTACAATCTGAAAACAAAATTTTCTAGATTTTACTTAAATTTATTTTCGGTACTTTCTATTTATTATTTGGTAATCCATAAAACAATTTCCAAAATTATATTTCGTATACCATAATTGTTCCAAAAAATCATTATTCTCAGAATATTATGATATTATTACCAAATATTAAATTTCCATAATTTAAAATGAATTATTTAATTTTCGGGAATTAAATATCGAATTACCAAAAATGTTTTTCCCAAAAATTAATAATTAAATACTTAAATTATGAATTTAATTCTAAAAACTTTTATGCACTCTGAAAATCATATTTTCAAGTTCATAAAATAATAATCAAGAATTGTAATTGTCCTTTTCGGTTTAATTTATATTAATACCAAATAAGATTATTTAAATAGGGAAAAATAGAAAATAAAACAGAAAATTTATTTTAGTTTTTTAGATTTCTTAAAATCACATTTTAACATCTCAGAAGTATTAAAATTATTTTCCTTAATTTATTTTGTACTTATCTTGTAATTAATCAAATTAACTACACATCAAACAATACTTTATAAATTAGAAAATAAATTCCGAAAAATCCTATTTTAAAGTCTCAGAATGATTAAAATTATTTTTCCATAATTTATTTTGTATTTATCTTGTAATTAATCAAATTAACTACAAATCAAACAATTCTTTATAAATTAGGAAATCAATTCCGAAAATTAATTTTAAATATCCAAAGGTCTTTAAATCATATTTTAAAGTCTCAGATTTAATAAAATTTAATTTTCAAATTTTTCAAAATATTTTAATTGGTTAAAACAGTTTTTAAAAATATTTTAATTGGTTAAAACAGTTATAAAGTCCAGAATCATATTTTGGCACTTTCTTGAATTTTGGATAATTTTCGAAAATATATACACACATATTTTATTTTATCAATTCTCAAAAACCCTAACGGCAATTAGATCTACAAAACATATAATTCTCATAAGTCGGCTCTGATACCACTGTTGGGTTCTACGCTTGGATAGGGCAGCGGGATTATAAAAATTTTATTGTCCAAACCTAGATCCACCCAGGACCTCTTATGATTATTATAAGTTATTGTTTAGAAATAGACCTTTCTTGGCGAGTAAGCAACGATATGTGTAGGTTGATGGATTGATCCAAGAGTTAGCCACAAAAGTATATGACCTCGAGCAGTTGAGACACACGAACAACGAAGAGTGTTCTAGAGAAAATTATGCTAGTAATTTTTCTCTAGAATATTTCTAAAATATAAAATATTTGGTGTAAAGTATTAAGAGAACAAAACAAATTTTTCTCTCTTAAAATTGTGCTAGGGCCGAAAATTCTAATAGTAAAAAAGGGGTGGGATGATCTCCTATTTATAAGGAGTATAATCCCCATTCCTATTCGAATAGGAATGTTCCTTTTAGAGTTAAGGAAGGAAATCAAATCCCATTCCTATTCTACTTAGGAAATTTCAAATGGCACCTTAAGGATGTTTCCAATTTATTTTGTCAATCTTTAGTTATCATATAATTAACACAAAGTAAATAATATAACATTTATTATACATATATACGAAACACACACACACACACACACACACACACACATATATACATACCTACCTACGTACGTACGTACGTATGTATGTATGTATGTATGTATGTATGCATGCATGCATGCATGTATGTATGTATGTATCCGGTAAAAATGTAAATAGAAATAAGTATAGGAATATACAAATAGAACGGGCATACCCGAGCGTGGAAGTGGTATAAACCAGATCCAAAACCAGCAAATGCCATCAGGGCACCGTTACAAATACCACAACACCAACAATCAAGCAACACAAGGCACGCAGGCCAATAAGCACCAACCAAAAACCAAAGATCAGTACGGAAGGGAATACAAAGGCCAAAGCCTCCCCAATATAGAAAAAACCATCACTTTGATTTTACAAATGATAGCCTCAATGCAAAGAGGTTCTTGGTCAAAGTGGGTGGCATTCCTTTGCTTCCAGATATGGAACACCGTGCAAGCTAGAGCAATCTTCCTCGTCTTCTTCATAATAGCATCCCCTCTTCGGAAAGACTTCATCCATCTCACAGCCCTGTCCAAAGTACTCAAATGCCCATCAATGCGTAACCAATGTTTAATAGTCCCCCAAACCTGCTGTGAGACGTTGCACCCAAAGAACAGATGGTCCACATCCTCCTGTGCTTGACCACAAAGTGTGCAATCCAATGGAATTCCCAAAAATTCCAAGTTAGTTTTGGTGGGTAACCTCCTCCTAAATGCAAGCCACATTGTAAATGAACATTTAGGAGGAACAGTTGAGTGCCAAATGAAAGCCATCCAAGGCTTGGGGTTGGCCTTTACCCTAAGCAAGTCATAAACCTTACTTGGAACAAGGTTACTCCCCAGACAGTAAGGTTGCAAAGCCACTTCCATAGAGGAATTATGGTCACCAAGCTTTTGAACCAAAAGCTCTCGCACATAGGCTAACCTTTTAAAGAATACAGAATGTCTCTTTTTGGGTTGCCACTGCCAAAAATCAGCATCTTTAATATAAACAGAGTGCACCCATCTCACCCAAAGTGAATCCTTCTTGGCTGCCAGATTCCAAAGATGCTTGCATAATAAGGCATCATTCCAATTACCAGCATCTTTAAGCCCCAGACCCCCCTCTATTTTGGGTTTACAAATATCAGACCAAGCCACTTTGGCGAATTTGCTCCCCCAAAGGAAGTCACGGCAGTGGGATGTGATGCGATCACGAACATATTTCTGGACAGGGAAAGCCTGGAGCCAAAAAGATTGGACTCCCTGGATGACAGCTCTAATCAATTCCAACTTTCCTGCATATGATATCTTCATAGTCTTCCACTTAGAGAGGAATCCTTCCACAGTTTTGAACAGAGGTGCATAATCTGCTTCAGAGATCCTATGTGAAGCCAAAGGCAAACCCAAGTATCTCACTGGGAGTTGGCCACGAGGGAATGAAACCAAACCTAGAATGTCATGGCTAGTATCCCTGTATTTCCCAGCAAGAAAGATATTAGATTTGGTAGGGCTAAGGACCAAACCTGATACACTTGAGAAATGCTCCAAACAGTCCATAAGCACTTGCACAGAGGGGAGGTCTCCCCTAGAAAAAAGCATAAGATCATCAGCAAAGGCCAAGTGTGTGATTCCCAAGTTAGCACAATCCTTGTGATAGTTAAAAGTTCCCTCTTTGGTTTTGATGTTGAGTAATCTCGAAAAGTATTCAATACAGAAAAGGAAGAGAGTTGGTGCCATAGGGTCCCCCTGTCTCAGCCCACGCTTGCTCTTGAAGAATCCATGAGAATCTCCATTAACCATAATGGAAGAAGAGGCAGAGGTAACACATTCCATAACAAGAGCAACGAATCTGGAAGGGAATCCCAAAGCTAGCATGACATCCTCGAGGAATCTCCAAGATACAGTGTCATATGCTTTTGTGATATCCAATTTAATCATACAGCTGGGAGTGGATCTCCTGATAGCATAATCTTTGATCAGGTGTTGAGCAAGGAGTAGGTTATCAACTAGTGATCTGCCCTGTACAAACACCCCTTGGGCGGGATCAATCAAGTCACTAAGGAGAGGTGCCATGCGCTTCCCAAGAATCTTCGTAATGATCTTGTAAAGAACATTTAGACAAGCAATAGGTCTAAAGTCCTTCACTGAAGGGTTGTGGACAGTTTTGGGAATTAAAACAATCATAGCATGGTTGATCTGCTTCAGTAGTTTCCCTGAAATAAAGAACTCCGCGACAGCCTCGTAAACATCTTGACCAACCAGTGACCATTGGTTTTTGAAAAAAGCTGCTGTAAACCCATCTGGTCCAGGGGCTTTCTCATTACCAATGTCAAAAACCACATCCTTGACCTCCTCCAAAGTAACCATAGCAAGTAATCTGGAATGGGCAGATTCAGGGACAGTGGCTCCGGCTGCCAAGACCTCATCAACAATAGGCCCTACTTGAGGTGTGGTACCAAACAGATTCTGATAAAACTCAAGAAAACACCCAACAACCTCATTGCTTGAGGTAGTTTTAGTTCCATCATCCTTAATCAAAAACGGGATCACATGTTTCTTCCTATTTTTTTTGACCAGGGAATGAAAGTAGCTAGTACCTCTGTCAGATTTCATAAGAAAATCACACTTAGCCTTTTGCTGATAGAATTCCAACTCTGCATCTAAAAGGAAATTAGCTCTTTTCCTCTTAGTCTCAGCATCATCTACCAAAGCTTGATTGTTAGGGTCTGCCATGACCTCCTTCATAATAAGTCTGTATTCTTCTTTAGCTTCCATAGCTCTTCTAGAAATATGACCAAAAGCATTTTTGTTAAGGGTCTTCAAGGGTGGTTTAAGCCTCTTCAGTTTAGAACATAAAGAGAATTGTTTAGACCCATTGACCCTGGTCCCCCATGATTGGGTAACCAACCCTTGAAAATCCTCATGCTTAATCCACATGTTGAAGAATTTGAATGGCTTGCTCCTTCCAACAGGTGGACTACCACAATATAGCAGCATAGGACTATGATCAGATAGGTGATTAAAGTCCATAAAATCACAGGTAGGAGCCCAGCCAATATCAGCCCATTCTTGGTTGATAAAAACTCTATCAAGTTTGGCCAGCTTATTCCCTTTATGCCAAGTATAGAACAAGCCTTTAGAAGGTACATCCTCAAGGCAATTAAAGGATTTAAAATTCTGCAAATCAGTCAAATAGTAAGCTCCCTGACTCATACAGTTAACCCTCTCATTGGATGCCAGAACACAGTTGAAGTCCCCCAGCAGAGCCCATGGCTTAGTCATATTATCAGCAAAAGAGAAGAGTTTATCCCAAAGTGCTCTCCTAATAGTGACAGTGTACAGACCATAGATGAATGTTAAGCAAAATTCCTTCTGAGTTGTTAGACACCTGACTGCGCAGTGGATGTATTGGTCACCAATCTCCAGCACATCACAAGCAAAAAAGTAAGGATTCCATAAAACTAGCATACGGCTACCAGGAAATAACTCAAAATTTGTGGTATATTTCCAGCCTGGAAGTTTGGCATTCACAAACATATCCAACTTGGTTCCCGAAATTTTTGTTTCCAGAATGCATGCAAAATGGACACCAAGTTCATAAAGATATTTACACAAAAAATTTTGTTTAGAGGACCTAGATAGTCCTCTAATATTCCAGCAGAAGATCTTCATCTAGGGGGAGGGGCAATCCCCTTTCCACCTTTCTTGCCTTCCTGTCTCTTCCCAACCATGTTACCATCAGCAGTTTTCTTTTTCTTCAGTCCCAAATCAGTATCCCCTACCTGTTTCTTATAATTAGGTCCATTGTTCAGAACACCAGTCCCAATGAGTGGTTCCTTGGCATGTTCATTAGGTTTGTTTGAAGAAGATGGAATAAGGCCACCTATGGGCTCAGAATAGGCTCCTAATCTACTACCACTAGCAACCCATTCCTTCCTAGAAGAAGGTGTATCCTTCCCCTTCTGGGCAACATTAGCTTCCAGGTTCTTCTTCAACTCCAGGGATCTGCAATGAAAAGGGCCATGGTTCCATGTTTTACAGTGAAAACAGTATTTGGGGTCCTCTTCAAAGGAAGTCACAGGCTCTTTGGAGAAGTCAACCTCAACAAGGACTCTGCAAAACCCACTCTTGCCCAGCTGTTTTGTAACCAAGTCAGTTCTCAGGGGCTTCCCTACCTTTGAAGCCAGCATCCCAATACCCTCCTCTGACCACATTTGCATAGGAACATTATGCAGTTGAATCCAGACAGGGAGAGTTGTAAACTCAGAGAAGTCAAACATAAATCCATGAGAGGGGATCTTTAAATACATGTATGTATGTATGCCCGCCCAATGGGGAGTTCATGGGGTTCTTTTGCACAGGGCCTCCCAATTTAGGGGACTCATCACTTATATGCTCAATTCATTTAAATGTGTTAATATTTCATTCCTGTTAAAAGATTTGATCTTTTTTTGCATTGTTTTTTGTTATTTCAGAGCTAATTGTTTTCTGTTTTCATTTTGTTACTTAAAAATTAGATCTTTCAGTTATAAAACTTGATTTTGTATAAATAATTAATTGATGTATGTATGTATGTGTATATGTGTATGTGTATATGTGTATATATGTATGTATGTATGTATGTGTGTGTATAATTAATTGTGTATGTGTGTGTGTGTGTATATATATATATATATAAATAAAATTATGTTATATTTTGTTCCTTAAATAATATTTGACAAACTTAAATATCATATAATTAAAATGTCCAAATATTAAATATATATAAATATATATTTCGTGCCTTAATAATAATACTAAAATAATAAACAATTTATTATTCATATATATATCCGAATATATATATTTTATTATTATTATTAAATATATTTGACAAACTTAATTATCACATAATTAAAATGTCCAAATATTTGTTTATATATATATGTTTGTGTATTTAATCATGTTGTCATACAATATAATACACACGATATATAAATAAAGTGCAACTTTACTCCACTTAAATATTCTACACTTTCATGTGTTCTATGTGTGTGACCCTATTCTAGGCATATATAAAATTGGCCATAGTATCGATTAAATACTACAAGTGATAAGAGGTATCTAGCAACACATTATCACCTCCAAATTATAGATTAAAGCTCTTGGAACAATTCCTTCAACAACACATCCTATTTGTATAACCCTTATCCCTTTATCACTAACATCTTGATTTAACACAAGGTATGAGGTGTGTCACCTTGTTAAAGTTAAATCGATGGTTTACTGATTCTTCGATTGACTTGTGGGATTCAAATAACATATTTATTTGGGCATGGCCATGCACTTCCCAAGTCACATCAATCAGTGGGCTCTAAGATATACTTCATTAAAGAAGGGATAAATTCTATCTATGTCATTCACATCTTCGCTTAAGTTTTCATTGCATACCCAAAACATAACTGTACATCCACCAATATTTCAGATGACATAAATCATGCCTCAAAGTATACAACTCAACTTACCAAAGAATGTAATGACTTCAAGTCAAAGGATAGTTATACTAATGGTCGCATGAGAATAATATTAATAACTCAAACCCATATATTATTCTCATACATGGTTGCCTACGTATGAATTCAGATAACATTTTATTTATAGCCTATGAGACGCAGCTATCTCATCTCATACGTATTAGTCTTGATATATTATGATGTCCGTATTGTCATAATATTCGACTAAGGATATTTTAGACGTAGCCTCTATCTTTGTAACAGCCTCATAATCAGAACGTCGTAGTTCTCATTTGTGTTACTAAAGCGCATACTCTATGGACTAAAGCTATGTTTAAATCACACGAGACGACTTAAACAATTTTTAGGGCCTATTGTTCTTGATATAATCATAGATATGGAATCATAAGTTGGCCTCTAGGGCTCGCTTATATTTAACAAGAGCAATAATGGCAAACTACATTTGGATTATGCATATTCCTAGGTTGAGCCAAAAAATTTCTAGGTGATCTTAAGTCAATATTCCTTGAATTGTAAATGAAGTTCCTAGACTCATTTCTAGGTTGTCTCAAATTATTCCAATCATTTATAAAAATCTTAGAGTCATTTCTAGGTTGTCTCAACTTATTATTTTTATTCTTTCTAAAATTAATTTTGTTATTCCTAGGATTATTTGTTCTTATAGGTGGTTTATCATTCTTAAATTCTTCACCAAGTTTCTTAGGCTCTTCTACCTTAAGTTTTTCTATGGTGCTCTTAAGTTCTACATTCTCTATTTTTAAAGACTCACAAGAGGAACAAGTAGAATTTTGGCCAAAGGAAGAAGCTTCATTCATTGCCTTAATCTTATTTTTAAGGTCAAAATTATCATTTTCCAAAAATTTATTTCCTCTTCCAAAGCATGAATTTTAGCCTTAGCCTCTTTGACAAGTTTTGAAGTTTTCTTCAATTCACCAAATAATTCTTGAACGACTTCTTGTAATTCTTCAAATGAGAAGGAGTTAGAAGTACTTACCTCTCCATTTCGTTCATGTGCCATAAGACATAAGGTGGCAGTTTCGTCACCGGAACTTTCCGAATCCCATGCCATGTATGCTCGTTCCTTCTTCTTCTTTTCCTTGCGGTTTGGGCAATATGGCTTTATATGGCCAAGTTCTCCACAACCAAAGCACGTTGGAACGAGTTCCCCCTTTCTTTTACAATCTCGGGACCCAAGTTCTTCCTTCAAAAACTCTTGGAACTTTTCGAGCAAGTTATATGAAGGATTATCGTTATCGCTTTCTGAGTCACTTACCTCTACTCTTTTTGAGGATGATGCTTTGAGAGCGAGACCATGACTCTTGTCAAGAGAGGGTTTAAGAATAGTAGATTCATAAGTTTTAAGATTACCTCGAATTTAAACTGGAATGATAGATGGTAATTATTGTAGATGGTAAGCTTAGTTCACTACCCCATTTGTAATCCTCCCTAGCGACCATCATTACCTAGACCTGTATGTTCTAGATTCTAGGAAGCTGCTCAGATTGTGAAGGAGAGTTGCTATGATTAAAATCCATAAAATTTGATAGTAGTAAGAGGTGTTACCCCAAGCCATGCTTCTACACATTGCAATTATTCTCCCCATTCTTATTCAACATTGATGAAAAAAATTGTTGAAGAGCAAAATAAAATCAATAAAATATAGGATTAGTAAATCTTGAATTGATTGCTTCCTATCTTGAATTTGCTTCCTATCAAAATTTTATAAATAAAGTAAGGCAGAAAGCAGAAAAGGACTTTACTCCTTACTTGAGCTTCATTCTTCTTCTTAGTTTGTGAGAACACTCTCCAATTAGGACGATATTGACCATAGCCAAAGTAAGAGGTTCTTTGCTTTGTGAATTGTTTAAATTCAAAATCGCATTGAATCAAAAAAACTACGGAGTAAATGTAAAGAAAAGAAATGACTAAACGCACCAATTTCACTGCCGCATCCACAATATAAGAAAAAAAATGCTAGGGGTACACCAAAGGTGTGTACCTCAAAAATTTTTTAAAAAAATAAATAAATAAAGATCAAATAAAAATATCTGGGGGAGAAAGAGTGGTGGTGTACCCTAGCGCTCTTATAAGAATCCCTCAGCCGCCTGTCAAACCAATCTCTGATTCGTCCGCCGTCTAACGCCTCCCTCACAGTCTCGATGATGTAGATTCTCGCGTAGCCGTTCATCTCCTCGTCAACAACGTACTTGAAGGCCTACGTCCCCGACGCCACCTCCAGCACCACCACGCCGAACGCGTACACATCGGATTTCTACGACACACCCCCCATGGATTGAAACTCTGGCGCCATGTATTTTCTGGTACCTTTAAACTTCATCTCCTTACGTTTCGATTCAAAATCCACATCCGATTCCGAATTCCTCTTCGCGATCTCGCCACAGAGCTCCATCGTGCCAAGTGGAGGATCCGGTACGATGATGCTGGAGGCCTTATGTGGTTGTGGACGAAATCGAAGCCTAGACCTGTAGAATTGTGAATGTAATCGAGACCGGAAGCGATATCGGAAACAATCTGAACTCTGAGCATCCAATTGGAGAGAATCGTGAAATTAGGGTTTCGAGGATTTTTGAGGGCGTCACGGAGATTGGAACCGCGACTCCCTTCAGAGGAATCAAGCTCGAGTGGTAACTTCTGCAAATCTTCGGCCGCTTAGAGTTCATATCCATTTGCGCAATTGAGGATGAACAAAATCAGCAGCTCTGCCCACATTTTCAGTAGTGCTCTGTTCGTATACCGTCCTCTGCAAGGCTGCAAGGCTGCAACTGATATGCTGTGAAGTGAAAGAGTGGGTGGTTGTTGTGTTGCAGTTTTAATTAATATCTGGAACTGATGTCTTGCAGTTGGTGCAGCACATATGGGCGGGAACTTTTTCCTTCTGCTGTTGTAAATAGGAGGATAAAGAGGCCATCCCTAAAAAGGCATTGGGATCTCAATACTGATTCTTAAGACGCATTGATATACTCTTAATTCCATATTCTCATTCTTTCTGGATTGCTATATCCATCATTTGGTACTCTCATTGAGAACTGTGTGAGAATTTTGAAAGAGCAATGACAAGACAAAAAACCAAAAACAATGTTGGACCCCATCCTTTGGCAGGAGGGAGGGCTCTTCCCATTCAAGCCATGAGTTGGAGGCCATGATGAACAATATCACAACATTACTGATCATGGTAATGGAAAACTGGGTAGGCTTTCGAGGCTGCCCTATCTACCTATCCCGGAAGATGGCGTGCCTTCCGGCAGGAATTTGGGACTCGTCCTCCATTGCCTCACAGAGAATGCCGGTTGGAATGGCTCCAGAGGCAGAGAGAGGTGGGCGAGGAGATAGTAATGATCCGGGAGTATAATGAGCAGCTTAAGCGTGAGAAGGGTAGCAACAGGCCCAGCCGCCCAGATTGACCGATATGAGATGGTGAGATGGCTAGCTTGACTCAGATCCCCAAATCTTGGGACTTGAACCAACCACGGAATGTGGAGTTTGCAGCCTGAGGGAGCAGGGTGTTTGAGCAGCTGCCTGTGGGAATTGGGAAGGGTTCTGGAGTCCGAGACGTTAGGTCCCAGTGTTGACCTAGAGGAGTAGGGGTAGACTTAGGAAGAGTTCGAAGGAGGTGATACACAGGACTAAAGACTCTACGATCTTATCGCGGGTACGACGTTAGATTAGAATGTATAGATCTAGAATTAGAGTTATTCGATGGACTTTTGAACCTTTAGTTGTAGTTTTTACAAGCACATTATTACTCTTGTCTTTCTGTATGCTTTATGCACACTTCAGTTTTCTTTTTGCTCTTATTCTGCTCTTACTTTATTCATGCTTGTGCACCGACCTTTTTGCTTTACATTGTTGATGCTTGAGCAAGGACGTCTCTGTGAAAGAGCCGCTACTTTTAAGTCTTTTTAAAAAAATTAGACGTAGCAAACAATATGATTATCTGGTATTTGGTTGCTCCTTGGGGCTGGAAAAGTATGATTCATCTGTCAATGATTGGAATAGTATAATTCTTTTGCTTTTCCCCGCTAAATGTCAGCGTACTTGGTTTCGGTCTGTTATTCACTTGCTTTCTTCTCCTGTAACAGTTCAGTGGAAATGAAAGGAAGCTTGTATTATATTATATTCAAGCAGGAGGATTTGAATTTGCCTACAATTGACCCAGAGTCTCTGGAATTTCTGGCATATGTGAGGCTCAATGTCTTAGAGCTTAACCATTGAAATGCTCTTCAAGATCAGGCCGTAAGAATGCATCATCCGTCGTGGAGCATATTCAAACTTTAAGAGGTAATCTTACAACTTTGTCTCCTTGTGCATAGGAAAATTTCTTAACTCTAGATATTAACACTAAACAAATTCTCCGAAGTATAAAGCACCCAAAAATCCAAAATTGAATTCCTGAAATTGCAACAGGCCAATTAGCTGAGTTAGAATGTCCAATCAAGATCTACAAAGCCAAGGATTTCAAGCAATTCACAAACACAACAAATTTATATCTTGTTAAACAAATCAATGTTTTTTAATTTTTTTGAAGGATTTATTATAGGTAATTTTATTAAGTTCTTTAAAATTAATAGAATAATAGATGAATGCATTACATGCTGTTAGACACTAAAGATTTGAAATATAGTTCTTGTTTATGAAGCGTCTATTTTTTACTCCATCCAACCCATAAAAAGGTTCCACATTTCCTTTTTTTGTTTGTCCCAAAAAATGTTCTGCTTTCTACTTTTAGAAAAGAATTTGCGGTCCATATAGTTTTTCTCGCCTCTACATCACTTTCAACCATATAATTTCTCTTCTCTTAATCGCTGTGCAAAGGCAAAGGTGGAACCTTTTATTGGGACGGAAAAATTATTAAAAGGAGTGTTGTATAGTGAATGATCTCATTTTTTAGATGACGTTGTACTTATATAAGCGATTTGAAGAGACTAAAGTATATATCTAAGAATGACAACATGTGTATTTTGGGTTTCACTATACTCAAACTCAACACAACTTTCAGGTACGATATTATGATTTGAACCCTCACTCAGTCGACAAATAGTCGTCCACACATTTTGGAGAGTGCAACTTGAGTATCACCTAGAGAGTAGAGACTGAAGGAGAGTAGTCGTCACGTTCGTTCGAATCGACGCCTAGTCACTGACTAGTGGGTGATTGAGACCCTACCCAATTTTACCCAATAGAAGACATTTCCTTAGTCGATTCGAACGAACTGATGTCTTAGAAACCTAACTGATGTCTTAGAAACCTACTGACAGGAAAACATTTATTTTGAATTGGCACAATAGCACTTGCATTGGTCAAAAGCAAAGTTTATATGTTATTGACATGTAAACTTCTATTTCTAGCGTTAGAGCACATAACATGCATGTGAAATCTATAATGGAGTATGATGACATTCAATGATTTGTTGATGTAGTGACTAGATAATATTGATTAACTAAGATCAATACCACTTTAACTCAGTTAAGATAATTCAGTGATCCACTTCTATGGTATTTTTCACGAGATTATGATTTGCAATTGGAAGTTGCCAAGTTGTAGGGACACGAAGTCCTAACCAAAAGAGAGATATACAACATTGTTATTCAACTACGTTTAATACTATTTATTATTCCCTTGGCCAAATCAACCAATCGCGTGTTTGATTAGGTGGGAGTTACAGTAAGGGCCCTCACATTTATTGAAACCCAAATCTAATTTTTAGGTAAAACCTTATTTCATTAAATTAAACGAATAAGAATACATTCCAAGTACATAAAAGCAAAAACAAAGAAACAAAGCCTGCTTTAGACCTAGCCTATCCATATATAATCACATCTGCAAAGGCAACAAACAAAGAAAAATGACAAACAAGGAGAAAGAAAAAAGAGAAACCACAGGCCATCCTCTGATGTTACTGTTCAAATAGAGCCACTTTTTAATAAATGTACTCATTTTGCAAATTTTAACATGTTATCCCTCTATGAAGAAGTTCAAATGTTCTTTTAACATGTTATCCCTCTATCAAGAGATATTTGTTAGTGAAATACTTACAAAACCCAGGTGAATTATAACACCAGCTCCGAAGAGCTTCGCATCCAAATACGATGGAAACGTCGACCCTGCACTCTCAAACCTAAATTAAGAAAAAATGTAGAATGAACAATTTTATTTTAGAAAAAAAGAGTAAAATGCTTTACAACAAAACTTTCACTCTGTCTAGAAGATATGATTCGCCGCCTAAAGCATCATTAAGAACTAAACATGCTCTTTAAAAGTCTTGCATCACCTATAAGATCAAATAGATAGATAAATACAACATAAAATTATTCAATCAAAACATAAATATACAAAACATTATATATCTTTATATGCAAAACCACAATAAAGCTATTAAGAAGCTAACACACTTCATCTTCTTCTTCCATGTCTTGTACGGTCCTCAGTGCCCATGTGCTTTCCAATCTACGACGGTAAAAAGACGGGCGCAGATGCTTTAGTCAAAAAAGGCACGCCGACCACACCTTTTTAATAGCATCAACTAACCCAAACACTCCAGATTGATGGGAACTCCAATATTCAGCAGTTTCTGACAAATCTTTACACCCCCAGAATTGTTGCAAGGTTATAGGACTCTGTTCCAGTTCTTCAACTTTGTTGTATGCTTTAGAATCATATATAATCCACGGATGATCTAAAACAAAATTATATTTAAAGGTAGCACATAAACTCGCATAATGAAGAGTACATAAAAAACAAATACCCTTCAATCTTCAAGAACAAAGAAACAAAGATAACAAGCACAGAAACAACATATTAAAAAAATTAATTTTGTAGATGAGAAGAAATGAATGATGCCTTCTTAGAATTTAATGAAATTCTACTTCCAAATTTCATTAAATTCTAAGAAGGCATCACTCATTTCTTCTCATCTTCAAAATTAATTTTTTCAATATGTTGTTTCTGTGCTTGTTATCTTTGTTTCTTTGTTGTTCTTGAAGATTGAAGGGTATTTGTTTCTTATGTACTCTTCGTTATGCGAGTTTATGTGCTACCTTTAAATATAATTTTGTTTTAGATCATCCGTGGATTATATATGATTCTAAAGCATACAACAAAGTTGAGGAACTGGAACAGAGTCCTATAACCTTGCAACAATTCTGGGGGTGTAAAGATTTGTCAGAAACTGCTGAATATTGGAGTTCCGATCAATCTGGAGTGTTTGGTTAGTTGATGCTATTAAAAAGGTGTGGTCGGCATGCCTTTTTGGACTAAAGCATCTGCGCCCGTCTTTTAACCATCGTGGATTGGAAAGCACATGGGCACTGAGGACCGTACAAGACATGGCAGAAGAAGATGAAGTGTGTTAGCTTCTTAATAGCTTTATTTTGGTTTTGCATATAAAGTTATATAATGTTTTGTATATTTATGTTTTGATTGAATGATTTTATGTTGTATTTATCTATCTATTTGATCTTATAAGTGATGCAAGACTTTCAAAGAGCATGTTTAGTTCTTAGTGATGCTTTAGCCGGCGAATCATATCTTCTAGACAGAGTGTAAGTTTTGTTGTAAAGCATTTTACTCTTTCTTTCTAAAATAAAATTGTTCATTGAATATGTCTACATTTTTTCTTAATTTAGGTTTGAGAGTGCAGGGTCGACGTTTCCATCGTATTTGGATGCAAAGCTCTTCGGAGCTGGTGTTATAATTCACCTGGGTTTTGTAAGTATTTCACTAACAAATATCTCTTGATAGAGGGATAACATGTTAAAAAAACATTTGAACTTCTTCATAGAGGGATAACATGTTAAAATTTACAAAATGAGTACATTTATTAAAAAGTGGATCCATTTGAACAGTAACATCAGAGGATGGCCTGTGGTTTCTCTTTTTTCTTTCTCGTTGTTTGTCATTTTCCTTTGTTTGTTGCCTTTGCAGATGTGATTATATATGGATAGGCTAGGTCTAAAGCAGGCTTTGTTTCTTTGTTTTTGCTTTTATGTACTTAGGACTGTATAATTTAATGAAATAAAGTTTTACCTAAAAATTAGATTTGTGTTTCAATAAATGTGATGGCCCTTACTGTAACTCCCACCTAATCAAACACGCGATTGGTTGATTTGGCCAAGGGAATAATAAATATTAAACGTAGTTGAATAACAATGTTGTATATCTCTCTTTTGGTTAGGACTTCGTGTCCCTACAACTTGGCAACTTACAATTGCAAATCATAATCTCGTGAAAAATACCATAGAAGTAGATCACTGAATTATCTTAACTGAGTTAAAGTGGTATTGATCTTAGTTAATCAATATTATCTAGTCACTACATCAACAAATCATTGAATGTCATCATACTCCATTACAGATTTCACATGCATGTTATGTGCTCTAACGCTAGAAATAGAAGTTTACATGTCAATAACATATAAACTTTGCTTTTGACCAATGCAAGTGCTATTGTGCCAATTCAAAATAAATGTTTTCCTGTCAGTAGGTTTCTAAGACATCAGTGTTTGCTATGTTGTTGCAGGGCCCAATGTTTGTGGAGAGACATATTGCTCTGCTATACACCGGACATTAATGAAGCATGCGAACCTTCATGCCTATTTTGAATGATTGCATGCATCTTTAATTGTATCATTGATGTATAAACGTTAGTTATTTCACCTGTATATTTTTGCAAAATAAATAAACCATTATGCATGTCATTATTTTGTGTTTGTGTACTGCTATCTATTTTTTCTTGCCAAAAGTAATCCAAAGGCAGTTTATTTGATCTTTCAATTCTGCTACAATATGTTTGATGCATTTTGGGCCGGTCCCTGCAGTTTGTGAAAGTAACTTGGGGTTGATTATATGAACTAGTTAGAGAAATATGCCATTCACATCATTATCCTCTCCACATTCCTTTCATCAATTACTGTGCTCTTGTCCACTGTTAGGTGGCTATAAAATGAAATTTCAATTCCAATCCTCATTACGCGATGATTTCTAACCACTTATTGTAATCTAGTTACTGGTAAATTTTGCATATGCAGCTATTTCATATGATCATGTTCTTCAAAGAGATGACCAGTTTATCCGCAATTTGATACGAGAGAAGAATCGCTTGTTCATGGGTACCAGCCACGTGTATACCTTTTCCTGCTGCGATGCAAATCCATTAAAGCTAGTGCATGGAGATTATGTTCTTAAGTTTTCTACCCCATCAAACTCAGATTACCTGGTAAATATATTGTTAGAAAAATCTTATATTTTGATTGCTCTTCAATGACAATAACTTTATGTCTTTGAATTGCAGAATGAAGTGTTGATGCACAATTTCCTTCAACATAAATCATTTATTTCCTTAGTGGGATATGGGGCAGGCTGCTCGGAGAATTCAGCTGTTATAATTCTACCATACAAAAAAAGGAAGCTTTAAGCCAACATTTGAAAGTATTTCTTTAATTTCTCTCATTATTTAAATGATGTCAAGTTTCTTTGTGTATTGTTAAACAAATATCAGTTGATAGTTTAGCAATTAAGCTCAAATGCGAATTTCTTTATTTCCCATATAATAATAGGTAATACTTTATTTATAGGCTCAAGCTACTATAAGATATTTCTAAATGATCCAGAAATAGTAAAATACTAGTTCATGTAATATTGTCTTGGATTGGGTCTAGGACTACTAAAGTAATATCAAACTAACCGGGGATAGGACACCAATCATAAAACAAATTACATATAGGATTTATCAATACAAAGGTTCTGGCCTACACCTTGTTAATCAAATAACCAATCCTCCCCATTCTTCTGAGCAAATGCCATGTCCTTGAGGCTCCAATCTGAACCATTCTTTGTCAGTATGGTTACTGATTCCCTTGCAAACTTGTCCACTGAACTGTTACTTCCAAGATCTTAGCATTAGCAGAGCCTGCAACCTAGCTGTAGCTTATTCACTTTTCCAGGCATTAATTCAACTTATCCTTCATCACTGCAAGGTAGAAGAGCTTGCACCACCCAGTTTTCTTCGCAAATGAGATACATGAAATAATGAATGGATTCTTTTAAGCACCAAGAATGGTCTAAAATGCTTGCTACCTGATTTCTAGTATCCGCTTTGAGCTACTGACTGTTTGGAATAGGGTCATAAGTCTCACAACTTCACAAATACTCAGTCACACTCCTTGAACCCTTCTTCTCTTCGATGGCCATTAGCTTCTCGTTTCATCCTATTTTGAGAATGAACTGAAATGCTCCCTTAATTCTCGCAAAGCTGAATGTCTGCACTTCAAGCTTTCTTGAATCTCTTACACCTGGCAACTTCCCTCAGCACACTGAAGTGATGCTGGGGGAGGTCTTCCGCTGACAGGTTGGAAGGGAGTTGTTTAAAAGGGGGCATGGTGTATGGTATTATTCTTGTAGTCAGTCCAAGTTAGCAACGGCTCCCAATGTTTTTGTCAGGAGGAAGCAAAACATCTTAAACATTGCTCCATACATTTTGTTTACGACTTCAGTTTGGCCATTTGTTTTTTGGGGGTATGCTGAACTGGTTTTAAGCTCTGTACCCTGAAGCATGAAGATTTCTTTTCAAAATGACACGAACACTTTAGCTCGATCACGTAAAAAAATTACCTTGCACGTTTTCTTATTTCTCCCTTTAAACCCTTCCGATTCCAGAAAAAAAAGAGAATTGTGTGTTGTCAAGTTCAAACTCAAATGTCATCCGTTGCTCTCCCCTGCTGTCCACTTCACCTGTTGCCCTCATTCCTCCCTCTAGTCCCCTTTCCATTGGCCATAGATCTGCCCACATTCTTCACTCAATGGTTATATGCCGTTTGGGGTGTTTTAAGTTGTTCACTCTTATTTCCATATTATCTCACTCAACTTTTGCTTAAATATGTAAACTCATTTTTATTTGCGATTAGGTGATGTGAAGGTCCATTGGATCTTCCCTCGCTTCATTGCGGTAACAACCTTCGCATATTATCAAAGAGTATTAGTATGAATTGCCTACAGATACCATCATTAATGGCTGCTTGAAATATCAAAGGGTAATTACATCGCCCAAAGAGCAGCATCACAAGAATGACGAGATACTCATACTCCCCATTGTGTCCTAAAAGCTGTTTGTTCATTGTCTGTGGGTGAATTTCAGTTTGGTGATATCCTCATATCCAGCTCGCAAATCGAGTTTGCAAAATAGATGAGCATCAAACAATTCATCCATCATGTCTTCTATGATTGGAATAAGAAATCATTCCTCAACTGTCTCTTTATTTAAGACTCTTTAATCATTGCAATTTTTACATCTTCCATCTTTTCTCTTGACCAAGAGAACCAGAGATGAAAGACGGACTTGTACTTCATCTTAATCAGACCTGTTTTGAGCATCTTTTCTAGCATATCTTCTACCATTGTTAGGGAACCAAATGAGCTACTCGCTAGCCCACATTGTACTAACTAGGCCAATTATTAGGACTATACTTAAATAACACTTGTACCAAACTAATTAGGAACATGACAACGATCATAAACTAGTTAGGTTTTGCTACGCTTATGCCTTTGGTTGACCAACAACCCATCATTTAGATATTTCCAATTTGCATTGATTCCATTGAGCCATTGACTTATTGGTCAAATCCAATCTAAAAAGGTGTATGTATTGTAGACCCTTTAATAGTTGTCTTTGTTCCGGTTGTGTGTTGTATGTTTTGATATCTTTTTCTTAATGGATACTTTATTTTGAACAATTTAACCACTCTTTTCGTCTCAATATCATCTTCCAACATGAAAATGATGTGAGATTTAAGGTTATGTTGAAAAGTGGGTTTATAGTGTTATTTATTGGGGAAATGACTATTTCATAAGACATAATGTACAATTTATGTAGGTAGCTAAATGTTGAAAGTGTATTTTAAATGTTTTAAAATTTCTACAAAAAGCAATAGGAACATGATTGTGGGACATGCTAATATGCTATGTGCTTATGTGGGAAGATGATTTTGAGACGGAGGGAGTATTTGTTATAATACTTTCACTCAACAGATTTGTGAAAAAAGTACGGTCAAATCTCAAGTCCAAGCAAACTTTTTTCATGTGCGGTAACATTTGCTTTTGTACTTGTCTAGGTGTTTCTTGGCCACACATGCTCAAGCTATTACGCGATCTTGCATTTTCCATACATCTGGTGCACACTTCTCGCTTGGTGTTATGCGATCTTAAGCCGGAAAATATTTTAGTAGATGATGTAAGCTTTCTTAATGATTGAATAACATATTTACACAACCACGTTTTGTTCAACAAGACTTGAGACCTCACATCATAAAAAAATTAATTTTGCAGGATGACACATTAATACTATGTGATTTTGGTAGTGTCTCATGGAAAGGCTATATAGCTGGTAGAGGAACAAGACCATACTCAGATGGGTATTATGGTAGCCACTCTTAACTTTTTGAGATTTGGAATAATATATTTTGTCTAGTAAAATTGCATACTTTTTTCCAAGCTGAATATCATGCACATATTAGTACCATACTTCCATTGAATGTATGCATGTGTTCACAAACAATTAGGATAACTTAAAAGCCTTTTCCCTCAACCAAGAAAGATGTCATTACAGCAATGTAGATTAGGCCATAGGAAAAATATTCAAACATGCTAGAGTACTTATATGCAAGTCAACATAAATGGATAATTTGATGACGACAAAAAATGCATGAATACAATGTCCACAACAACCTACACTAAAATCTCACAATTGGGTTCTATGAATATTTTTAGTCATCCTACATCAAACATCATCATAATGTGACATACACAAACTAACTAAAAATATCTAGAGTAAAATCTCATAGTTGATGATCTAGTGATTGTTTTATGATAGTATATGACTAAAATGTGTTTCTAAAATTACTTCTTTCAGAATTATACGATCCAACTAAAGGTTGTGATCGCGATAGTACACGATTTCTCCAAATCTATCACAAACTTAAAGTTATAAACTTGCGAAGTGAAAGAGTTTTTTTCTTTTCTTCTGTGATTTAATTTACTTATAGTATACTTAAATCATCCTATATTTGCCTCCTCTTCTCTGTCTTGATTTGTTTTACCTATGCTCCCATTGCTACAGATGCATATCCTGCTAGTGACATGTTTAGTTATGGAATGATCATTTCGGAAATCCTCTTAGAACATTGGTCATCAACACTATCATTGCCCGAAATTCTTAGCCTGCTCCAAGATACTGAGCCGATCATTAGGGAACATTTGAAGAGGACTGGACTGACAGGCGATATAGTAGCATCACAGGTTCTTAGATTAGCTGCAGATTGCATGCGTGATAATATGGATGAGCGCCCATCTGCCCTTGTCATCATACATAGACTGGATGATCTCATGAGGTATGATTACTGGACACCCACACACCATTTGTGTGTGCGTGTGCGCGTGTGTGTGTGAAAGAAACAACGGATTCTACACTCGTAATGAGACCTGTAACCCGTAAAGAAAGCTCAAAAGTACGACACAAGACAATCTCAAACCAAATCAAGCAAGAAAACTACATAGTGCCAAGGTCATATTTTCTTGTGTTGTTTACCGCTTGTCTGCTGACCATTTTTTAATGAGTTTCTCTTTTTCTTTTTCTTTTTCTTTCTTTTGGCCCCTCCCTTAATTGTTAAGTCATCCAGAATGTGAACGTCTTCCACACAAAATAATTGAAGTGCATGCGTGTGTGTGATAAATCTCTTGAATTCAAACTAAGGCTCTCATTCTCACATTTGATTTTCAGCCTTTGTTGTAAGCAACCTAGTCATCAGGTCCAAGACATCACGACCATGGGAATGAAGCTGCCACGGAAGAGCTGGAAGGGTCTTCCAATCTGGTTAACGATTGGTGCCCTATTCATTGCTTCTGCATGTTCTTTTCTTCGGTATGCTTCTCAATTCTTCAATTGCTTTTTGTTAAAAACGGGTCTGTGTTGTCCCCTTGGTTGGTTTATTTCCACTACTACAAGCAGGTCTTGAATTTTGCTGAAAGTGGCCTGAAATGCATTTTTATGTTTGATCTGCACAAGCATCTGTTCAATTATCTGACCCGTTCTTAATTATGACTCTGGGAGTTTGAATAATTTGAACTGAACCAATGTTATTTAATTTGAGAGCGATAGTAGCATTCTTTATATGTTATTTGTATTTTACTTTCTCTCATGATGAGTGGAAGATGCTAATTTGATGCAATTTGTTGTCTGGATTGAAAAGAAAACCTCTTTAAGGAGGGCAGTAGAATTGTCAAGTTCAATCCGCTTGGGGCTTGTAATAGGCAGCAAGGCTTTCCCTCAGCATTTCCATCTGCTTTTCAATACGAATCTCGTCAAAAACATATTCGAGCTCTGATTCGTATGAATCTGGAGTACTATAGGGGTTGATGAGAAATCCATTTCATCTTCTGTTCCATCCATCTCTACGATCTACACAAAAAAACAAATTAAAACATTAATTATATTGTTGAAATAAGATTAATATACAAAAATATGAGAAAAAACTAACCTTAGATCTCGAAGGGGTTGGGTATCCCCTAGATCTGAATCGCAGATCAGAAAAGAAAAACCCTAGATCCAAATTCCAGAAAAACAAGAATAGATGAAAGGATAGAGGAGAAAGATGAAAGGATAGAAAACGAGAAGGATGAAAGAGCAGATCAGAGAGGAAAGTGATGAAAGAGGAGAGACGTAGGGAAGATGAAAGAGGAACGATGAGGATTATGTCTGCTAAGGGAAGGGGAGAGACGCAGAAGATAAGATCGAGAATGAATGAGGGAGATGAGTCGTTAGGTAGGAGTAATTAGATGGAGGGTATTTTGGGAAGTACACAACATTTATGATACCAAATAAGGAAACATGCATATCATTTTGGGACGGACGAAAAAAGAAAAACAGGTGTTATAAATTGGGACGGAGGGAGTACTAAAAGAGGCATGAAGTTGATAAAATATTGTTTGGCTAGTAAAAGACACATAAAAATGTTTCATTTTTCTTTGAAGAAAAAAAATTTGCGTGAGTAAATTCCCATAAATATTCTCTAATTACAATTGATTTTTAATATTTAGCCCCCTATTCTAAGGTATTGTGTAAATGGTCCTCATATTTTTGAAAATTATTTTATATTCGGTCCTTCAGGGACTATATTTGAAAACAATATTTTGTCATATTTATATATGAGAAGGGGTAATCTTATACCAAATATCTGTTGTAATATTGTTTCACCAATTCTATCGGGCATCTATGACGCTTTGATTGTAAAACTGATCTCGTCTCTAGCACACCCTAACTTTCCTAATAAACCCCCTAACTCATGCCGTCTTTAGCACACCCTCTCACACTCTCAAAATTGCTCATGTGACTCTTGCCGAAGTCAAGAAATCTATGTTTGAAATTGGGGATGATAAAGCCCCTGGTCGTGATGGGTATACTACTGTCTTCTTTAAGGCACAATGGCAGCTTATTGAGTCTGATGTCTTTGAGGCGGTTTCTGAGTTCTTTCGAAATGGTAAGCATGCAAATCAACCATGATGTTATTGTTCTAATCCCTAAAACCACCCACAACCCATCTGTGAAGGACTTTAGGCCGATTGCCTATTTGAATGTGATCTATAAAGTTATCACGAAAATCTTGGTTAAGAAAATGTCTCCTCTCTTACCGAACATCATTGACATGGCGCATGGTGCATTTGATTGATAACGTCCTCTTGGCCCAACACTTGATCAGAGGCTATGCAAAAAGAAGGAAAACTCCTAAATGTATGATCAAGCTAGATATTTCAAAGGCGTATGTCAGTCTCTTGAGAATTCTTAAAAAATGTCATGCTCGACATTGGTTCCCCCAAGGTTTGTGCACTCAATTATGGAGTGCATTACTACGGCTAGTTTCTCTATCTCACTCAATGGAGATTTTCATGGGTTTTTCAAAGGCCAATGGGGTTTTGAGACAAGGTGACCCAATGGCTCCCACCTTGTTCATCCCGTGCATTGAATATTTTTCTAGGCTTTTTTGAATATGAAGGCGAAGAGTGGTTCTTTCCATTATCATCCTCGTTGCGCCAATTTGGATATATCTCACATGGCTTTTGTAGATGATATTATTCTATTTTCCAAAGGTGATTTTACCTCGGTCTATATTTTGATGGAGGCTCTTAAGCACTTCTCTTCTGTATCAGAGCTTTTCCTCAACCCTACGAAATCTAATATCTTCATTGCAGGGAAATATAGAGATGAATTGCATGATATCAGACTTATGTGCATACTTATGTGCATGATATCATGCAAGAATTGTGAACTAGTGGGTTCGCTTATTTGTATGTTTAAAATGTTAGATATTTCTCACTCAGCTCATCGTTGAGCGTGTAGCTGTTTGTTTTGGCTGCACGCATGTAAGATTGAGGTTAATTGATCCTAGAAAGCAACGAGACGGAGGAGATGTGCATGTGGGAATCTAAAGGGATAATTACTACGATTGTTTTTTGTTATCAATGTTAGAATGGTTTTCATTAAATGACAGTTTAGCTTCCGCACGGTTTTGAATTAACTCTGATAAATGTTGATTTACTTTGTAATATTTGGATTTTTGGAATTAAACGATCTGAATTTATTTTGAAAATAGTGTATGTAGATACTAGTTTAGTAATATTCCAATTTGCTAATCTATTAGTTCGGGTTATGTGAACTAAGATGTTACATAAAGAGAGAGAGAGAGTCTGTGTGTGGCGCGATAGTTTGATATGATATGCACTTTGCGTAAAGTGAGTTAAAATTCTGATTTTTTAAATCCATTTTTAAGAGTTGATATAGGAATAAAAAAGTTATCTATTTAAATAGAGATAATGCAAGAAACTCAATAACTCATTATGTTTGCTTCCACGGATGAAAATATCAGGTGATTTTATACATACATATACGATAATTATTTGTGTTCAGAGACGATTATCCTGTGTGTATGAACCATCTATGGTTGTCATCCGTGGAGGCACACATGGTGAGTTCGTAGCTGATAGGATTCAGCGCAACAACTATGCTGGCACGGAGAACTTGTATGTAAATAAGAACGATATAGATTGAATATATGACTCTCGTATACTTGTATTAGCTTGTTTTAGCTTGGGTTACAATGGAAGATTTATCTCCTATTTATAGCCTAACACTACTGCATACATGGTGTGTAAATCATGCGCTACATTATCGGGCTAACTGGCTATCGTGCGTCAATTATGGGCGAAGAGTTAGTCATCAATCACTACTTAATCCCACGATTAGGGGGATTGCACTTGCCTTATATCTCGTAATCAATCCCCCTTGATGGGTTGGGTTTGGCCCATTACTTCGTTCAGTCCTCGGATTTGACCCATTCTTGTAATCCGGATCTAGCCTTCATTTTTGTCAGGACAATGTGCTTGGGCCTTTTCGGTCCAATTCATGAACCCGATATCCATCACTAATATTTTTGTTTAAATATTATATTACATCACATACTTCTACAAAAAATAAAAAAACTATTTTATTTATTAGATAATCAATGAAAGTACAAATAAATAAGAAATTAAATTTTAAAATAAGGGTGTAATTAGTTTAGGGATGGATGAAGTAAAAGAATTAAATTCTATTAAATTATGATCATCTAATACATGAAAATGGAACACAAACGTATAACAGCCGTTATGGGTTGCGTCGCTAGCCTTTTTTTTAATTAAAAAAAGAATAAAATTATTTGTACCCCAAGAATTTGTATCTCATTTTGTACACCGCAGGGATGCATCGATATTTTATGTTGTTGTAATGCTAATTTTTGTTAATGCACTAACACTTTGTATCAGTGTAAATTTTTGTTAACGCACCAATACTTTGTGTCAGTTTAAACCATCAAAATGTTGGTGCATATCTTTGATTTATAAATGAGGTACAAATTTTGGGAAAGTGATTAGAAAAATGCTAGGGCTACCCCCTCCATTACCACAAAAATGGGCAAGAAATTAAAACAAAATCCTTTAATAAATAAAAATGGAGTTAAAATAAATGGTAGAGAAAGGGGTGGAGGACCAAGTGGGGCACCCTGGCATGGTAAGCGATTAACCTCTTTCAAGGAAAAAAAAGTTCAGAACACACAGTCGGGTCCTTTTCCTCAAGCGTTCCACCCGTTCGGTAAATTGAGTACTCCTCTACCTTCGCTTCTCAGATTTTCTTGAAAATCACCTTCAACGCTTTCTTATCTTCTTCAACCGACACTAAATTCGATTCTTTATCGCAAAAGATCTCCAAAACCCTGAAAATTTGAGTGCCCATTTCCCAAGGAACCATGACGGCGGTCCTCCGCTCACCATCTTCCTCGCCCTCTTCATCTTCTCATCCTCCTCCTCCGCCTCCATTGTTTCGGGCTTTTGCAGACGGAGAAGATGAAGGCAATGGAGATGCTAAAGAGAGAGATGAGATATCTCTGTTGGCTCTTCTACTGGCTTTTTTCAGAAAGAGTTTCTGGTTGGCTTGCAAGACGGACAGGGGGGAGCTCTGCGATCCCGCTTCTTCTGGCGGCATGGAGATTGGATGGCCCACTAATGTGCGCCATGTTGCACACGTCACCTTCGATAGATTTAATGGGTTTCTTGGTTTGCCTGTGGAGTTTGAGCCTGAGGTTTCCAGAAGGGCCCCTAGTGCAAGGTGCATTGTTCTCTCTCTGCGTTTTTGTGAGTTCTTTTTTACTCTTTGTGGTCTTTGTGATTGAATGTATTCTTGGTAGTTCTTGAATTGTGGTTATGTTGTTCTGACAGTGGAAATTGGATCTTTATTCTCATTTTCTTTCATTGATTAATTTCTAGTTTCATTTCTGCTGCCTTGGTGCTATTGGAGATCTTGTTTGTATGATCCTATAGGGCTGACAAATGAAATGAGTTTACTTTGATGCAAAAGAAAGGGATTCTTTTAACTAGGGTTCCTCTAAGTTTGTTTGGACAATCAGAAGCTTAAATTTTGTAGAATAAACAAATTAAGGCATATATAGTGGTATTTGAAGTTAAATATTGGAAATTCAATAAATTTTTAGAATCGCATATTAAATACCAAAGGTAATAAGGTGAATGAATTTATAAAAACAATGGTGATTGGTAAACGAAGCTAATCTGTTACTGCCCTCTATTGAGGTTTGGAATTAATGACGGAGAACTGCTAAAGAGCGTATTAAGCTTGTTTCCAACAATGGAGGACTTTCCAATTATAAGAGTCTTTTGTTTAATAACCTTTTTTCTGAATTTGAGGGGTAATGACAAATGAACAACTGAATCCAGACAGTGGAAGTAATTCATAACTCGTTCCGTCCCCAATTGGTAATCTCATTATCACGTAACTTCATACTCCCTTTGCTTAGATTTTCCATGTAGACATTCTAATTATGTCTAAGTGGTTTACTTTGCTTTCTATTCTTGGTGAGTTTAACTCGTGCAGTCGTGCTTATAAAATAACTTCACTCATTTTATACTGATGTATTCCTATAAAACAGCTTCTCATTTCTCAAGTTTCCATAGTTGCATCTGATGTTGATTATGATAAACCTTATTGGTAAACTCAGTATAATATTAATGATTAATGGTTATGTTTAGAACATTAGCTAATATAAGCATTTGAGAGAGTTGAAATGAGAAGCCATCTCTTTAGAAGTTAAGAAAGTGACAAGGAGATTTCAGATTTGTCTCCAGCGATAAGAATAAACAATTGATTTTTAAATATTATTTAAATGTTTGGCATATGTGCACAAGGCTCAAACTTAAATCAATGGAAGAAAGGCATCACACATTCTCTCAATTTTAGTCTAGTTCTCAATTTTACGGAGTATAATTCTTGATATGGTGATTTTTTAATTTCTAGTTTCCATGCTATGCTTCTTTTTTTGCCTCTCTTCCAGATTTTGTTTCTCACCTTTGATTTGACTCATGTCCATATGAGAAAGAAAAGAGTCCAATGTTACATGGTGGGAAATTAGGGCAAGAAAATTAGGTGAAAAATTTTTCTTCTTTTGGCTGAGAAAGGAAATCGAATGAAAAATAATGGAATAAGAATGTAAGAAGCTAATCTTTTATCAAATCTGATCTTTTCCTCCCCAATGAAGAAGCCCTCTTTTTTCACTGCACCCAGTACCTCAATTCCTCACTCATATCTGATCTTTGTTCCTTTCATCTTATTTTAAAATCAAAAGAACATTTTTTTTTAAATTCTCATCTCATTAATCTCCCTTTTTTTCATCATACATTGACATGGCTAATTCCATGTGCAGTGCCACCGTTTTTGGAGTGTCAACCGAATCAATGCAATTATCATTTGATTCGAGAGGGAACAGCATTCCAACTATTCTCATACTCATGCAAAGGTGTCTTTATGCTCAAGGGGGCCTGCAGGTGTTTCTTTTTTCTTTTCTTTTCTTTTCTGCGATTTTACTCGACTGTCTTCATGGTCAAATAGCTGTTATTATGCGCACAGGCAGAAGGGATTTTCAGAATAAATGCAGAGAATGGGCAGGAGGAACACGTAAGAGAGCAACTAAACAGAGGAGTAATCCCTCAAGGCATTGATGTGCACTGTTTGGCAGGCCTTATCAAGGTTTGTACTTTGCTTACTTCTTCTTGCTAAGAAAAATGCTTTCCCTCACATATTTGCCTGTTTGTTAGGCTTGGTTCCGCGAACTGCCAAACGGGGTGTTGGACTCTCTATCTCAGGAGCAGGTAATCCAATGCCAGTCTGAAGAGGATTGTACTGCACTGGTCAGACTCCTGCGGCCCACAGAAGCTTCTCTGCTGGATTGGGCCATCAACTTGATGGCTGATGTTGTCCAAGAAGAAGCCCGCAATAAGATGAACGCACGGAACATAGCCATGGTGTTTGCTCCAAACATGACTCAGGCAACTATTTATATAATTCCACTAATGAATCTTTTCCCTTTTTAGCCAACAAATTTTAAGTGCAGTTTCTCCATGCAGATGGCAGACCCATTGACTGCACTCATGTATGCAGTCCAGGTGATGAACTTCTTGAAAATGCTTATCGAGAAGACATTACGAGAAAGAAAAGATTCTACTGTGGACCCAGAACCGGGTCCCGGCATGGATCCATCCGGGGAGAACGGTCACCAGAATCCTCCCAACCTCATCCTGCAGGAGGACACATGCAACCCGACCGACGAAGAATACCTCAGTTACTCAGATTCATCCGATGAATCCGAAACCAGAGAGATGGGTGTTTTGGACGGTTGGATGATGTCCAAAGAGCAGAGGGACAGGAAATTATTGGGTCATCAGTCTAGCGGTGTGGTGGGAAGTGATGACAGCAACAACAAATGCAGAGGAGTTAACAATTTGAGCCGTATCAGTTCCACGACAGAGTGGATAGAAGCATGGAGGTAATGAGATGTCACCTTCTTCTTCTTCTCTGTTTGGCTGTGGAAAACTGTGAAGCTGTACGTGCTCGGTTGTTTTAGTGTTGAGTGGTTTTACGGTTTGAAACAGCTTTCGGTTTCACTCATGTGTGTGTGTGTGTGTGTGGGTGTGTGTATTTACACAGTTCAATGCAGATTCTTTGGAGTTTCATGGCTATTTTCTCTGTTTGCAGTTTCAAACCATTGTCTTCTAACATGAAAATGTCTTCTTTTTTTGTGTATTCATTTACTTACAAGATTCTAAAATGTTTTAGTTAATACAGGCTAAACTTTTTCATCATTTCTCTGTAAAGCCAAGTTTTCTCTGAATTTTCGGGAGGCAAATCTTACTGGCTAGGAAGTACTTTTCTTTGGTCAAAATGTAATATGGCAACAAAGCAAATGTTACCCGTTTCAAAATATTTGCCTAGTTTGATTTTTTTTAGTCAAATTATAAAATACTTCGATAATCAATTAATAAAAAATTGTTTATTTCCATCATCTCTGATGGAGCCAAAATTTCACCATTTTTTGGCTTTAGGGTGTGATGGAATAAATCAAAATGGATCTCTAAACTGTCTGCGCTTTTTTAATTAATGAAGTAGCAGTTAGTCAAGCAATGCAACTTTCGACGTTGAGTCGGGGGTCTTTTTGGAAACAGCCTCTCTACTTTCGAGTAGGGGTAAGGTCTGCGTACACACACCCTCCCCAGACCCTACTCTTGTGGGATTTAACTGGGTTGTTGTTGTTGTTGTTTCATTAGATTTATATTTTAGACCATTTTCAAAAAAAATGTATTTCATTGCATTGATAATTTAATATGCAATGCCATATTTAATGTAATAAGTAATTAAAATGAGTAGTTTAGTTTGACACAAAAACAAGTTAAACTGGACGAATACTAATAGAGTAATATACGAGAATACTTAGTAATTGAATAAAAGAAAACGTTAGAAGAATATATACCAAGTTTGATATCATAGATGACAACGGTGTATGTTTACAGACGGTTATGCCACTTCTATACGCGGAATGTCAAAATTAGTGTTATTGTAGCGAGACTCCTAATTGAAATTGGCAATTAGTTAGAGAGATGAGAAATTTATTTAAATAATAATAAACCGTAGTGACTTTCCTAATTTAGTGTTATATGTTTTTATTTTCCAATGTAGCCACTAGTCTTTGTTCACTAGTCATTCTTTAGGTAAATGTCTATCGCCACTGGACATTGTTCAAACTAAATGTCTAACATCACAGGACATTATTTTTTCTACTAGACATTATTGAAATACTATTTAAAAAATTAAAAATTTAAGTACTACATTTGAAAATGACATATATTTTAATACTCCCTCCGTCCTCCATTTTTTGTCCACTTTTGACTTTTGGAACTGTTCATCTAAGCACTTTGACTCATCAAATTCTCTCAATGTGTAAGCTTAAATATAGTCATGTGTGATCTTATTTGATTTGTCTTAACATATAGATTATTAATATATAATTTCTATAATTTTTTAATATACGAATTACAAGATAAAATGGATTAAAGAAGTGCATTGGATGGTATGTAAAAATGAAAGTGGACAAATATTCTGGGAGGGGAGGGAGGGAGGGAGTATCATTTAGTGCAAATTTCACTATATAGATTGATGGTGACGCGACAAGTGAAGTGTATGGATGTACAAAACCGGTGGTAGTGTCTGTTCCCTGGACCGTAGAATAATAAAGACGGAATTGAAGGCTGCGTTGAATTTTGGTTCGATCAGGCGCTCGCTGTGTACATCTTTTAATTTGGTCGCTCCCACCCTCCCAACTAACTAGCGATCGACCCGGCCTTCAATGATGATTATGGCCACATGCATTTTTGGTCTGGCCTCACTATAGTAGTAATTCTCCATGTGTCTCTTAATTATTACTCCCACTATACTATCACTATACTCCCACTATACTATTTACATGTTTGTTTTTTTCTCCAAAATCCTTTTCTTACTCCCTCCCTCTAAGATTCTCTCATTTTGAGTTTTTTTAGTTTTTAAGAAGAGTTGAAAAAAAGTGAAAATTAAACATAATACCCTTAATTAAATGGGTGAAGTGTATTAAATGAGATATGTGAGGTGTAATAAATAAAGTAAGTGAAAGTGGTTGTGATATTTTAATTGTTAAAAAAGGTAATGAGAAGATCTATGCTGAACAAATAAAAAAGGTTAATGGAAAGATCTATGAGAGACGGAGTATCATTTTACTTTAATTAATATAGCCTGTCAGTAGATGAGAATTTGACTAATAACATCCTAGGTAAAGTTTTATTTGATGCCAATATATAATAGATGAAAATATTTTTTCTCTCACAATTTATGAATATTTTCAAATGAATTATCAATCATTTAAGTTATTGTACTTTACAAGAAAATAATTGGCATATAAGTAGCTTATAAGTTAAAAATTATTTATAAGCAATTACTCAACAAACATTAGGAGAACTGCTTTTTTTAGATACACCCCCATTATTTGGCCTAGAGAATAATTTTTTTGGTAAAAATATTTCCCCCTATGATTTTTTGACACTAATAATTTTAATACTCTAGCGGATCTTATTGTTTATCCTTCCCCGACATACTTAAAATTAGACGACACGAATATTTTTTGTGGACAATTAGCCTTTTCCTTAGTTTTTTTATCAATAATTTTAAACTTTAATCACAAAATATGGTAAAATACATTCGTTAATGATATAAATTTAATACCAATAAATTCATTTTAAAATATTTTATTTTTATACTACTTCGACCCAGAGTATTTTTTCAGTTTGATTTTTTCGAGTCAAACTGGATAAACTCTGATCGTGAATTAAATAAAAACGGTATTGAATATTAGTACAAACATGATTTAATTAGATTTATTTTACGAAAAGTATCGGAAATTTATTTCATTATATTAAATTATTAATATATGAAATGCAAATATAATGTTGTTGATCATTAAAGTTCGTTTAGTTTGTTTCAAAAAAATTAAACCTGATGAATACTGATCTTAATTGGGACAGATGGAGTAAAATATACCAATATACTCCTCCGCCCCAAAATAAGTCTCATCTTCACGTTACGATGTTTGACTAAAAATTTTTTCGAATATTATCAGTGAAAATTGGCTTAGAGTTGAAAAATAAAAGTTACTCCGTATATATTAATAAACTAAATCAAAAATTCTATAAAACAAGTGATGAAAAGGTTATTAACTAGTAGTCCTTTGTTTTGGAGAGATGATGCATTAAGAGAGTTATTATTGATCAAAGTGTTACATAATAAGAGCCAAATAACAAAAAAATTTGGGATTATATTGTTTTGTAAAAAAAGTGAAAGTATGTAAGAAGTAAGAACATAATTAAGATGAAACTAAAGACAAAATTCTCACTATTGTATAGATATTGTTCCAACAACTTTTGCATATAAATATTGATTTCGATCAACAACCTACTGAATCAGCATTTACTTATTGTAACGAACGTTAGGCAACTCGATCTGCTTTAATTAATTTCCCCTTAGCTAAGCTTGTTTCTACTACGTATATATTCATTGTTCCCTCAACTCTGCACTCATCACAATTATACTCCCATGCACCAACACCAACTTCTTTAGTTCTTCTTCTTCTTCAAGTACAATATATTGTTTTTGAGGACAAGTACAATATATTGTTAATCATTCATACGTACAAATTTAGCTTTAATTATTGCATTCATTTAATTAACTAGTAACAGACAATATAATATCATGGCGATGACTTGTCAAGCTGGTGTAGCAGTGATCCTAGTAGCCCTCTCCGTGGTTGCTTCAGCCCTTGCGGGTGGGCCCGATGACTTATCGAGGGCTTCCCATGTCGTCCGGGGCACCGTCTCTTGCATCGACTGTGATGATAATGCTGATGGCCATCAATACCATCTTTCAGGTATATGTCAAGAAACTCAACCAAAAACTCAAACTTGTTATTGTAGTCCAAGAAATGTTATTTATAAAAATATTTGCACTAAATAACACGAAAGCTTAAGTCCGTTAACCATTTTACCGCCAACCACCCCGTTAACGGTCACCCTCGCCTTGTACTAATTAAATCATGATTTTAATTCTTTTTAAATAATTTCGTTTCAAATTTCAAATTGCGTATTATTTCTACCATATTTTTTAAAATTCATTTCTTTGCCTCAAAAAACTCATCAAAGAGACCCTAAAAGTAGTTTGTCTTCTATATGTCTTGTTCATTTAATTTTTGTAGAAAATAATAAGAGGGAAAATATTCTGTATATTCAATTGTTCTGTTTAGTTACAAGGGGTTTCTCCTTTATTTATAGGAGAGGATGATTCCAAAATAGACAAGGAATACAAATCCTACAAGGAAACAAATCATAATCAAACTAGGAAACAAATAAATAAAGATTAATCCTAATTAGAATGGGATTCGGTCATCAAAGAATTTGGACTTCTCAAGTTCGGATTTCTCAGAATTCGGACCTCTCAGAATTCGGATCTCTCGGAATCCGGATTCCTCGGAAGTCGGACTTCTCCGGATCCGGACTTCTCTGGATCCGGACTTCTCAATTCCAATACCCCCCCTCAAGCTGGAGCATGCAGATTCTGGATGCCCAGCTTGGACAGTAAATGAGAAAACGGAGCGGAAGCCAAAGCCTTTGTAAAGAGATCTGCCGGTTGATCATTGGTGGAGATGTGGCGAGTACATAAAACACCTCGTTGGATTTCGTCACGTACAAAGTGGCAATCAATCTCAATGTGTTTTGTACGTTCATGGAAGACCGGATTAGCGGCAATATGAAGAGCAGCCTGATTATCACAAAACAACCGCATGGGCTGTTTGTGACGCACACCAAGGGAGAAGAGAAGGGATTTCAGCCATTTGAGTTCACAAACAGTAGTTGCCATGGCCCTGTATTCGGCTTCAGCCGAAGAACGGGAAACTACACTTTGTTTCTTTGTACGCCACGATACCGGGGAATCGCCAAGAGTGATAAAATATCCAGTAACAGAACGCCGAGTCAAGGGACACCCAGCCCAATCAGAGTCACAGAAAGCTTTAAGAGTAAGATCACTTTGTACTGGAAGAAACAAACCCTGCCCGGGACAGGCCTTGATGTACCNCGGGCAACCTCAACGCCCAAAAAATATTTTAAGAGACCAAGGTCCTTCATATGGAAGCAATCAGATAGATACCGTTTAAATTTGCCAATGAAGCCTTCATCATTTCCTGCGATCACAAGATCATCCACATACACCAGCACACGGAGCTCGATGGTGCCGCGCAAAAGAGTAAACAGAGAATAATCAGCCTTGGATTGATGGAACCCAAAGTGTTTTAATGCAAAGGTGAGTTTAGCAAACCAACAACGTGGAGCCTGTCGAAGACCATAGAGAGATTTATGAAGACGGCAAACCAATCCTTTACCGCGAGAGGCAAACCCGGGGGGAAGAGTCATGTATATTTCATCGCGAAGGTCTCCATGAAGAAATGCATTATGAACGTCCATCTGATGTAAGAACCAGTTTCGGGCAGCGGCAACAGGTAAGAGAGTGCGAACGGTAACCAATTTAGCTGTTGGTGCAAAAGTTTCTTTAAAATCAATTCCCTCTTTCTGACGATTGCCAAGCACTACCAAACGAGCTTTGTAGCGTTCAATGCTACCATCAGACTTGTGTTTGATTTTGTAGACCCACTTAGATCCGATTGTTTTCCTTCCTGGAGGCAAGGGGACGAGTGACTAAGTACCATTAGCTTCCAACGCCTGAATTTCTTCCTTCATAGCTTGTACCCATAGCAGATTTTTGACCGCCTCAGAAAAGAATGTAGGCTCAACATCTGCACTTATAGCTGCCAAAAAACATCTATGGGAAACAGAAAATTTGTCAGCGTTAATAAAATTTGTAATACAGTGTGCTGTACCTGAAGATGTTGTTGGTTTGAGTGAATCAGGAGAGGGACGTTGAATGGTGTGAGTGACAAAGTCACGCAGTCGCGAAGGAGGACGACGTTCTCTTTCACTTCGGCGCAAAGTGTCTTGGGTTGGAAGGGTTTGGTTATCAAGGGCAGAAGAAGGTTGGACTGGGTCATTGGGTTGGCTGTTTGGTTCTGATGTTGCAGGGTTTTCTGGATTGGATTGGAGCAACGGTCGACCGGGGTCCTGAGAACGGTCCAGTGTTTCGACCGTCTGGGTGGC